TTTCTTCAAGTGGGCCAAAACTGGCAGGTGTATATCAACTAACACCAATGTGTCAGGTTCCGGCAGTCCAATTAATAATGACAGATCCGCTTAATCAACGAGAAAGTGCAAACCGATTCAATGAAGCAAAGATGAGTCAGTAAATCTCGAGCCTTCTCGATCGAAAAGCAAAATGACACCTGCTGGCAGATACATTCATGTTTTTGCAGCACAGCAAAGAGAAACTAAAGTGACACTAGCATGAATACTCACACCTCAAAGCAGCAATAGCGTTACTGTCAATTTTCACCATCATCTTTCCAGTCCTAACACAGCTTCAGTACAAACGCCTTTGCTCACAAATGAAATGACTTTATAAAATGACAAAAACTGACAAAATTGACCTGTGTAAGTGCAAGGCATTCAAAAAGTGACTCCAGAGAGATGATTTTTCAATCCCCGGTTGAGATGACAAAACTAGATGATGGCCAGCCACAAGCACAAACTGCGAACACTTGAGGAAACAGTGTGGTGACTTGCTTTTATTTTTCACAGTGGCTGGCCATCTTCTGCTGAGACCTGACCTGGCACCACCACTTGATTGATCTAATTGACCCAATTGAACCAATTGACGCAGTCACGTGAAGCCGACAACCTCATTATTCTCCACCGCAATGTCGAGGTCATCATCACCAGCAGCAGCAGGTGCCTGCAATTCACAACGAAGAGGGCAGCGTTCTTGGAAGTTCATGGTTGCAGTGTGCCGCTGCTGCATACAACCAGAATGGTACGCGTGGCCGCACGACAGTGTCTTCACTTCGTCCATGTGCCACAGCTCGGAATGGCAAATCAAGCAAATGAGCGGTTCTCCATCTCCACTGTCAGTCGCTGTGGCCAGCGCTGGCTCTGCTCCTGGCGCAGCTGGCTCTGCCTGTCCAGGTGCAGCTGGCTCGGCTGATGGCACTGGTTGAGCTGGTTCCAGAGCTGCCTCTGGTGTGTCAGCCATTGCTGCTGGGTCCACTTGGTTTGGTGGGGCCACTTGGGCTCTTCTTCTTGCTGGCAGGCGCTGCTGCAATTTGGCGGCGGGACTCGAAGAATTGGACCGCGTCCACGCTTCCTGCAGTCGCAGTCCTGGCGCTGCCAACCGCCACTTCATTGACTTGGTGTCCCGCAAGACCAATGGGAGCAATTTGATGATATTGTCCGGAATCCTTTCGCAGGACCTTAACCCTCTCATGCGCTTTCTTAAACCTGTTGCCCAGGTCGTTGTGTGAAGTCACACCTGCAGGATTCCGAACACACACTTGGCATGCTGAAAATCACATTGGTCAGTTCACTCCAATGATGACATCGGACATCAATCCATTGGGTTACATGATGTTTCATGGTAATGGTGTATTATTTATGCGAAGCAAACCTAGCCAACACACAAATGGCTACACAAGAAAAAACATTATCAGAGGGGCTAGACAAAGTGACTGTGATTTTTTGACTCTGAAAACTTGGGCACTTAACATAAATACAATCCTGGAGTTTAACTTTACCCCCAACCCCCCAACCCCAACGCTCGCTAGGCCATAGAGAGGCAAGTCCTGGCGGCACAACAAGTGGCATCCACTGAATGTTGTGTGCTAGCAGGCAGACAAAGCTAGGTAGGCAAACAACAATCAACAGTTCGGGCTTCTGATTTGCTTCTTTCGCCCCTGCAGTTCTGCGGCTATTGGCAGACATGAGATGATTCGCAAAATGTCCGCCACGTTCAGCCATTAAAGGAATGACTGCTGAGCCACCCCTCCATGTCAATCTCGGCATCACTCTCATCAACACTGCAGGGGCCCACAAGATCTAGAACGTAGAAACCACGCTGTTTGTAAGTGATGTCGCCGGTGTCACCTTGGTGATGTCACCAGTGTCACCATACAAAGGCTTGACAGGGACCTTGCAATCAACAAGTAGTGCTGACAAGATACTCAGCGCAAACAAAGGACCGTCACGCCACGGACTGATGCGATGGATTCCCTTTGTGGATGACCGTAGAGTAGCGTGACTTCCCTGTAAAAAGGGAATCGTGCATCCCCTTGAGTGTCTTCGCGGAATCGTCGTTCGGTTCTTCGCGGAATCGTTCCATCGTCGAGGTTTTTGTAGACATCACCATGAGAGCAGCCGAACTAAAAGAAGCCAAACGGATGGACACATAGCAAACACATGGCTTTTGGAGCCGAGTCAGTCTATTTCATATTCAAGTGAAAGATACATGCGATTAGATATGTGTATGACACGTATGCAGTCCAATCTCAAAGAATAAGGTGCAGCTTTTGTCAACTCACCTGGTGTAGGCCCTACCCAGTTACAACTAGTCACTACAGGCTCTTGGACTATACTACTACGAACACGAAGCCACTAGAGGCTCCCGGCATCGCTACTAGACCACACCCCAGATCGTGCGCGCGCCTCTCATGGCGGTGCCGACGGTATGTCCAGCCTTGCGCCTGGCGAGACCTACGGTGGCTCCGCGCCTGCGGCTTCCACCGCGTCGCTCGACGCCGACGGCCGTCGGTGGCCGGGACGGGGCGTGGGAACTGGATGAGGAATCGGGGGCCCACTCGCTCGTAGGAGATGGCTCGTAGTTTTTGGATTTCTATTTGCCATTTTCGCCTAAAGATGTCGAGCCACCTTCCTTCCACAGTGGTCCTGTACACCATCCGTCCTTGTGACGGTGCTCTCGAACGGCCGCACGAGGTTCGGCGGTGGCCGCGCCGTCCTGTGCGCCGCATCTCCGCGACGCGTCTACGCGCTCCAGGACGGTGTGGACAGTGGAGGGTCGCGGTCGTGACGGCAGTACACGGTGCGATCCTCGTACCAAATTCTACTACCAAATTGGTGGCCTCCAGGCCGCCAGTGCAGAACGAGAAACGGTGCCCCTTGTAGCAAGTGGATTTCTTTTGTCGGACGGGGGCTTTGCGCCCCAGACGTCAGACAGAACACGTTTGGATGCCTCTGGACCTCAGACAATTGATATGTAGTGTCCCTTTCTTTGGAACCGACAAACGTGACCGGTCAAATTGCAAAGAAAGAGCGGTCAGGCGGGTCTGTGCAGGAGTTCCGGACGCAACGAGAACCGGCTGTATCGGATATCGAAGGCCCGGGGACGTCCACGTATTCGAGGGATGAGATTTCATGATCTACTCTCCTCTGATGAATTACGTCCTCCTTGCTGCCTCATGCCTGCAGTGCAGTGTTTGCGCATCGAAATACAGACACCCAACGTATTCGAGGGATGCGATTTCATGATCAACTCTCCTCTCATGAATAACGTCCTCCTTGCTGCCTCATGCCTGCCGAGACGTGTTTGCGCATCGAAGCAGAGGCACCCCAACAGTTTTGGAGTGAAGGGCTTAACCGGAAGTGCCGTGGTCCATCGGGTCCGCCACTGCGAGGCGTTGAGCAGGATTCTTCGCCACAAGGCTGTAGCGCTTGGCATCCGGATCCGTGACGACGGATTCTGTCCGCTTGAAGCCGCTCGTCGTCTGTGTGGGGGGAACGCTCGATCGCGGGGGTCGAGGGGAACCGCCAGAGATGTTCACGTAATTCTGGGCAATAGTACAACCAGTACTACTACTGCTAGCACTCAGACTACGACGACAACCACAACAACCTCTGCTACTACTATAACTACTATTCCTGTTCAGCTACTAGAGCGCTAAAGAAAGAGAACCTGCTATGATTGAAGATCTTTTCACGTATCTCGACAGCAGACGTGAATCTCTCGAAAGAGACTGTTTGAGACCGATCAAGCCCGGTCAGTGGGATATATATATATGTTCACCGTGGTTTGCCTCGTGCTCCTCTCGAGCGATCTCGACAGCAGAAGTGAATGTCTCGAAAGAGACTGCTTGAGACCGATCAAGCCCGGTCGATAACTGCAGAAACCTTAGGCTAGGGGTCTGCTCTAAGGCATGCAGATGTAAACCCAATGAATTGTTTGATGAGAAAGCAAGCCACATCTCCAGCGCTCAGGACATCTTGTGCCTGGCAGAACTTCGCGCGCTCCGATGCTCTTTGACGGACATCGAGGTGCTGGGCTCGTCGCTGTCCTTGGAACGATCTTGAGGGAAAGTTGTCTAGAACAGTGAGTGGTCCAGAGAAGCGTTGTTTTTGACGCGGAGTGGATCCCCGGGTGACGTAGTCGGAGGGTTCTCTGGCTGCCTTGCGTCTGCCTGTCGCGCAGGAGATCGTGCGCGCCGACCAGAAGCAGCGCTTTCAGCTCCAGGCGGATGTGCAGCGGGACGGGCAGCTTCTGGGACGGGTTCCCAGCTCAGTGAGGTTTTGGTCTTGGACTAGCGACTCCGGGACGCATCGCGTGATCCTTCGAACTTCGCGCGGCGTGCAGCTGGTAAGAAGGGAACTAGAGGGTGGAGGACATCCGGATCGGCTACTAGGTAGCCTGTGGCATCATGACCAGTGCGTAGGAAGCTGCTACAGGGTGAAGCTTTGTCCGTTGATTTGCACGTGGTCCTGCTCAGGACACTTCGACCACTTCGTCTCCGTCGACCGGCTCTCTGCCGAGATCTTTGTTCGAAGTCGTACTGAAGCGGCTTGCTGATGTCACGTCGGCTTGTGAGCTGCCGACTCTTGTGTTGAGCCTGCCCGAGCACCCTGGGCTTGACTTGACTGTTTTGTTGGCACACGGATCGCCGGTGCCATGATGTCTTCCGGCCACCTGCTGTTAGACACATGCTCCAGGCGCACACTGTCGAACATTCCTACATGCACGCATACCTACTGTAGTACCCCCCCACACCTACACGCACACAAGCGCCAAGCAGCATACATCCACCCACACACTGATACACACTGACGAACAAGCACATACACACAAACACACACCTCACGTACGCACACAGACCCTCACGCCTTATATCTGTCTCGCCTGTCTCTTCCCCATGCTCACTCTTCCGCACTTTACCCCTGCAGCCTCAATCTTCGAAGCTGTTCACACGTGGGGTTACCTGCGAGCTCAGGAACGAGTGGCTCGCCACCTCTTTCCGCTTTGCCGGCGAGCTCCAGCCCGGCGGCGGCTGCGCGCGGCAGCCCTGGCAGCGCGCCTACGTGGACGTGCGCGACGCGGAGCCCGGGTCGAAGCAGCCCTTAGGCCGGGTGAGGTGGGAATAGGTGGAGTTCAAACAGGTGATTTTGGGCGAATGAGCTAGAACAGGTGTTCGGCTGGCGCATGCCCCCAAAATCCTCCAAAAACTACATAACTTGGACCTGAATTTAATGTATAGACTTCCTTCAAGACGGTGCACCTTCGCGTGGAGTTTGTGTCTTCATTTATCTCATCTAGGTTTGCAGGTAAACTGGTCGACAAAGTATCAATCACTTGGAATTGATTTTTTCAACCTTCGCCTTGCTGAAGGAAACCTCGTTTGCGGGGTGGGTCCCTCCACCAGCAAGGAAGAGCCTCCGGTTGCTTTCGCCCCATCTCCGGAGGCACCTTTTGCACCTTACCAGTGGGCTTCAACTTTTGTGCCACAGCAGGGTGTTTGGATCAACTGGCCTCGAAGGACAGGCGGGGTAGGCCAGTGAGAGATCATGAGAGATGCACCCAAAGGATGCGACAAGTCTGTGCAACCATTCCAAGATATTCCAATGCTTCCATCTTTGAACATCCTACCAGGCAAAGCTCGGGGAAGGTTACAGTAAGGTTTTTGAGGCTCAAACCGGAAAGGGCTGGGCGAGCCTTCTGCGGCCAGGAGCATCACTTGGCGCTGGAGTCCTTGTCTCATGGCTGGAGTGCCGGGCGAAGCCAGGCCCTGCCGGTGCAGGTGCACCACCGCGTTGGACAATGCGGGGTCGCTGGACTTGGGGGACCTTGCTGCCAGGTACCCCCATCCAGAGATTCCTAGGTCCCAGCGTGAAAAGCTGTTCGTCAAGCGCTGCTTGAAAATCCATACCGTGGCAGCCGCGGCAGTTCCTCTTACCCCAACTGGCCCCAACATGCCCCAACTGGTTCTCAGGTTCTAGACCTTTGGTCCATCAAAACAGTTACGGTTATGCTTCCATAAAGTGTCTTCTCAATCTTTCTCAGTGAGTACACTCTCACAACCTGAATCAACCTGAATGGCATGTAAGGGTTTTCGGAAGCTTAGCAAGCCTCAAAAACTCCGGGCTCGCGGCACACATCCGGACTGGTTTCAGGTGCTCCACTGGCCCGGTGCCCTCCGAAAGCCCTGGCAGCGTTGTCTGAGCTCCACGCGCTCGCGCTTGGACGAGCTTTGGTGGAAGACCTTCCAGGAAGCCTGCCTGGAGGCGCCCAAAGCGGCGCCCTGCCGGGTGAAATGCTTCGATTGAGAAGGTTGGAACATGTTGGAACAGGATCTAAAAGATGCGGGCCTGAAAACATGAAACCTACACCAGCAGTCACAAAGGGGTGCATGGAGGTTAGGAGTGCCCATTATCCACTCACTTACATAGGGACAACAACACGACCCCTTTGTGACTCCTGGTGTAGATCGTTTCATATCGTTTCTCTTGAGGCAGAATGCCCTTCCATTGCACTTGGAGGGTTTAAGAAATACAAGTTCCGCGGGGGTGGAACCGCCGCTTGCGCTTCAGAAGTTCGTGGTTTCACCGCCCCATTTGAGCTGACGCCAAAGCCGCGGAACGCCTCTCCACCAAAGCTCTCACCACCGCGCCGCCTCTTCCCTGGAGTGGTGAAGCAACTCCATGCGACCGGGGACCGCCTCACCGGGCACCGACCGAGCGGGCGTGCGGCCCTTGGGGCGGGGTTCCGGAGGCTGGGCGCCTGTGGGGGGTAAGATGATGTATGGGTGTTGTGATGGAAGATGAGTGGGGGATATGGATGGACATGGTGGGTTGGATATTTGTGTGCCTTTTCTTGAAGTTCGTTGATGTCCTTCGAAGCTTGGCACCAACAGAACGAGGGGCTTCAAGCGAATCGAAGGAGGGCTGCTGTCGGTCGATGGTCGGGCGTTGTGTTTTGGATCTTCTCCTAGGGGGTGGGCAACATGCTGACACCATGGTGACACCATGGTGACACCGGATGTTGGTTTCGCAGGTGGAGCCACCCAGCAAATCCGAAGGCTTGGAATAGCTGATGTCGTCGGGAGTGGCGCCGTCGTCGCGCACCGCCTTCACAGGGCGGCTGAAGAACGGCGCGACGAACCGGAACATACGGCAACGCGACGCAGCAGCGATTTCACCAGACACTGGCAGTGACACTGCCAAAGACTCACATGGACCCTCACGACCTGGTCCCCTGGAAGATGGTTCTCCTCTAGCAACCAGTGGTTTTGGGGTTCCGTGGAGGCTTGGCTTTGACCCTCCACGACACCGGCTGGAACGGTGACCTGAAGCCTTAGGGGAGTACAGCAACTTGATTCCACAGCCATTTGAGTTCAACGACTCACCAATGCTATGGCGTTCTACGAAGAGCAACCGTATGATATGGCGCTTCGTCTCCATAGCCCTCCAAGCGTACCCGCAGACTGATGCATTGGATGCACCACTCAACTCCAGCCAACCTCCTTCCGATCTTCCAGAGGTTGAAGAACCCATGAGACATCATGAGACTCACGGAGAGCGAAGTAGGGGCTTGCTGAGTCCACAGCCTAGTTGGACTGGTCCACTTCACCTGGGTGTTGCTTTAGTCCTCCCTCTCCATGGCGCCATGACCCGGGTGGCCGCCGTGGCCGACCACGCGCCAGGCGCGGGCGCGTATAAGTGTGGGACGAGATGGGCGCCGTGGTCGACTGGGTCTCGCGGATCGGGGAAACGGATCCCCCAGCGTGGCGAGGAGCCGCTTGGGGTGATCCGGCGCTTCCTTCGTCCGAGTGACGAGACATTCGTCTGAGTGACGAGTGACTCGATGAGTGATTCTTGATCTTCACGACAGATTCTGGAGGGTCTAATCTTTCGAAGGTGAACAAAGTGAAACAGATCCATTCCCAGACATGACTAGCATGGACTAGCGTATTGATTGTTACTGTAACCCTGGAAGTTTCTTAGATCTTTTTAAAGATGGTTGATCCAACTTCGTAGTGTAAAACTCTTTGTGTAAAACAATGGTTGCTCAGTAAAGGCTATTTAAAGAGCTGTTGATTTGCACAGGCCCCAAGAGGTGGTTTATATGGACCCCCATCTAAAGGACATCTTGGGGTCTGTGCCATCTACTCTGCAACCACTGTAGGGTTAAAGGACTTTGTTTCTTCCGGATCACCCGAAGACACATCCACCCGGATCACCTTGACGGCCTCAAGTTACAACTCGTACGTGAGAAGGGTCATTACTAATCCCAGTGGTTGGGTGTCCAACACCATTGGGTGATCCATTGTTTGACCAGTGGTGAGAAGAATCATTACTTATGGAATGAGTGCTTGGGATTGGTCAAACAATGTCCAACACCATTTGAAAACCAGTCCATGAACATTTTCCGGTGGGTGTCGCTGAGGGTTTCAGGTTTTGGGGGCTTAAAGATGCTGGAAGGTTTTGCAGGAGTTTCGCCTGCACGAGCTCAGGCGAAGATCAGAATTTACCAATGTTTGGATGACTACACTCCTGAAAACTAACATGGACCCTGAGCTAACAGACATGGACTCACCCTGAGAATGGCACCCTGAAAGGCTGTTTTCCTCTACAAACCAGTGGTTTTCAGGATCCATGTAGGTTTTCCACGGGTAGTTTCTGATATTTTCAGGTTCGATGTCAGTTACTCCTTCTTCCTTGCTGGGCTCAATCTGGGGCCAGGGGGCCCTCCGGCTTTTGGATGCTCCCAGTGTTTTTTCACACTCCGTTTCCAACAGGTTCCTGCAACTGCAACTGGTTTGCATCGGTTTGTTCTCATGACCCCAAACGCACATGCACCAATTCCACGTTTCTGTCGAGACCAAGCTGGACTAGGCTGGACCGGTGCATGATGTCCAAAGAAACCAGGCCCTCAGCGGTCCTCTTGTTCGCCGCGTGGCGCGCCAGGCCATGCCCAAAGCAGTCCCAGCAGGGAGGCCAGAGTATGAAGAGGTGTAAGAGCAACCGCACCCACATCCACCAAGGTGCGAACTGAGTCCAATCGTACTTCCAATCATGTGGAGTGTGACCATGGTCCTTTTTGCATGTCTTTTGGTGGATGCTTTTGCTGAACATGGCCCCCGGAAGACTCATGGTGCTCTGCCAAAACGGTTGTTTGTTTAAATGCATATAAGTACCGCTTCCTACCAGGGTGGTTCATGAACACCCCTCAACATGTAAAGGAGAAGCCCCTAAAAGGGGGGTCCTAGTATGTGAATGTAATGTATGTGATATGTGTTCGTCAGAGTGTACTGTCATTCTGAGGAAGTTCTTGACTAACACATGGGGCTCGTGGCCCGGCCAAGATTGGCTTCGATCTAGATCTGAACAAAGAAGCCGCTGCCACCGTGGGAACACACCACCTTGGCTGCTCCACGCCCATGAGTATGTACCCTCCTGCAGATCAACAATGGTCAACATACCCTGAACACCACCGGGTGCTTGAGAATCGTCCCCACGAGTGACCGATTTTCATGGTCGCGTCGTTTGGTTTGGACCGTTGGCCCCCCCACACCGACCAACTGGTCGCCTCTTGGCCCAGCGATCCGGGCGTCGATCCGCTCGATCCGGCGTTCGTTCGTCCGTGCCAGGAGCGCTTGTTGGAGCTTTGTCTCGGGTCTCCCAGCGCGTGGCTCGTCTCGAACGAGCACACGGGTGCGAGGCGTCTCGAACGGCAACAAGCACTCTACCCCTAAGCACTACCTGATTGGCACCACTAGACTGGGGCTCCCGTGGGCCGCCTCAAGCGGATGGTCCCTGATGTGGTTGATGTGCTCTGTGGGTGCAGACGAGGTTTTTGTCAAGTGGTCCCTGTCAGACGATGGACCCGGAAGGGCCCAAGATAAGATGGACCTGGAGGGGGAGCTCAGGCTCGGACGGGCTCAGACCCTTGGATTTGCGGCCATTGTGGTGTTGGGGGGGCCTTTGCCCCCATGCGTGGTGCTCATGATTTGGGCATTGGTGCCCCCCGTTGGTGCCCCCGTTGCCATGGCCTCACGATTGCTCGTGCAGAATGCTTTGCTAACCTTTGCGAGCAAGCAACATCAAACACACCATAGTTGCCATACTCCGTCCCCCCTTTTTCCGTCCAGGTTGCTCAGCATTTCTCAGCCACGGAGGGACAAAAGTGGCACCAAACAGCTGCGCCCAAGTGGTGAAATCGCGGTTCTGGAAGTCCTATCAGCGATGACATGCTGGGCTGCTGGGAGCTAAACGTTTCGATCAATCAAAGAGGAGCCCTTTAGGGCGGAAAGATTTTTCCCGCCGAGATCGCCATAATGAGATACCTCTCACGGCCCTGAAAACTGTGAGAGAGCGTGTTTAGGGTTTGGCGAAGGCGGTCTCTTCCTATTATAGTGACTGTGAACAAAATTGAGCCCCCGAAAAACTAACATGGACCCTGAGAATGGTGCCCTGAAAGACTGTTTTCCTCATCTTTGGTCTGCAGCAGGGTACTTGGTTTGTTTCATGTTTCTGCACCATTGTGTTGGCAGATGCGAGGGTTTGGTGCGGTGGAACAGGGTTCAGAGCAATTGCACTTGAGCCATCGCAATTGCAAAACATCCCTTTAAGAACAGTATAGACCCAAGAAAAACCATGAACCAGGAGTCACAAAGGGGTGCCTCTTGGAGGAAGTCGGGGTGCCCAGAACATCCACTCGCTGGCTGGGACTAAAAACTCCTGGAAGATCGGTACGGATCTGCACCGGTGCATCCCCTCCCTCCAACTAAGCCATCCAGAAAATGGTCCTCCAGGGGCCTCGGATGTCCCAGGTTCGACATGGTTCCACTCTCGGTTTCGAAGGATAGGAGATGGAGAGTAGATGGGCACGGAACAAGGGCCCCCCCCCGTTTGGTGCTTTCACATGAACCCCAAGCTAGAAGACCAGACAAACATTGTGCCATCTATATACTGAAACCGCTGCAACTGTGACTTGACCCTGTGATGGGCTGCGTAAAACCTGCATGCCTCCGAGGCGGCCGCGGCCGAGCTCCGCGCCGGCGCAGCGTCTGGGGAGCCCGGCGTCTGCGGTGCTGGGGCCATTTTTTTAGGAACTTTCGGGGTCGCTTCGAGGTACAAGTAACCGAATTAGACTTATAGATACATGCATGTATTATAGATACTCTGTAGTCTGTAGCTATAGGATTTATATAATATATATAATGCCTATACGGTAAACGTATCCTTTCTGTCCTACTTAGCACGAGTGACTTTCGGGTTTTCCGCTGGCGTGGCTTTGGCGCTGACGAGCGGTGACATCTGGAGGTTTCGGTCGTCACACGCGGGAGTCACGAGTCATGACCGAGGACGGTGGTTTCGAATGGTGGTGTTTTTTGCACCCCAACATGGGATCTGGGATGATGCAACTCGCATGGGTACTGTACCTGGCTGGTCCTGTCGTTTCAGTCGACCTTCCTCTGTCGATGCTCCAAAATGGGATGTCATTAGGACCTTCGAGCTGTTATAGAAACTGAAACGACCCTTTTTTCGAGCGGACGGGCGGAAGGTCTGACGAGCACATCGGACGGAAGGTCCGTTCTGATGTGTGACGTCTGCATGGGCACGGCTGACTTGCAGAGTCGATCCACTGATGGAAAGGTCTTTTGGTTGGTGGTTTGTCAACCGCATGTCAGGCATTGATGTGGTCTACAGCATGTCAGGCCAGCATATGGCAATGATGCAGTTCTTACAGTTCAACGCCATGGCAATGATGTCAACAGTTCTACTTTATGGTCTATAGCCTTTATGTCAGGTTCTTCAGTTCCAATGGCCACGAGGAGTAAAAACACCTCAGATGGCCATCTTCGCCCTTCTGCCCCGAGGCCGAGCGCGCCAGGCGGCGGTGTCCGGTGTCCGTGTTGGACGGTGTGGATGGCCTTTCTCCCAAACCGAGCAGAACATGGGATGCAACGGGTGCCATTGGATTCCGCCTTTCCACCCAAAGGATCATGGCTTTCTGGGGGGTCCTTTTCTTCCACTCAAAGTGGGTGGTTCCCATTTAAAGGCCGAACGCTGAGCAGCTGGTTTCTGGCCGTGTTTGACCTGCATGGCACTGAGCTGGGCAGGATGCCACCTGCGGCCGCAAGGAGAGGGAGCTCAGAGACGGACAGGACAGATGGACAGAGCGGTTCTGGGGCGACAGGACTACTCGCTGCAGATTCACATGCCCTAGGGATCCACATACCTTCTCAGAAGGAACGACTGGGACCTCCAAGCCCACCTTCTGAGAAGGTACGACTGGATCCCTAGAGTTTATGGGATCGTCTCCATGATGTCTATTTCTTGGACCATCAGTTGAGATCTCGGATTCCTCCGAGCGTCTCCTTTGCCTTCTTCGACCCAGTCGCGCCTGTGTGAGGGAATTCGAGTTCGAACACATTTTTTCATTTGTTTCCCCCGGATCCGTGGCCCCATTCAGCCAATGCCCCAGAATGGGTTTTAAGGGAACCCCTACTACAGAATCTACAGGAAACCCATTTAGGAAGCCCACCGTTTTGGAGGCGTGGATGGAGAGTATATTTATATAAGGGACATCTTGGGGTGCCAGTGCCATCTGAATCAACTGTAGATGTTCCCTTTAAATATCTTTAAATCAATTCTCGGAGCCCAAGACGGGAACGACGTGCTTCGGTCACCCAAGCAGGTCTCCACTCCAACACCCAGCTCCAAGACTTCCAAGCGGCCGACCTCGGCCTGCGGCGTGTGCGGCAGGCGCCTAGGTTTGGAACCGTCACCACTTGCTGATGGGAGTAGTGACTGAGTAGTGTGTGCTCAAGTGGATGTTCGATAGATCCCGATCGCCAACCAGAAGAACCTTGCCTTTTGGTGGCCCGGAGTGAAGACAGGCGGGTGTTTGGCCATGAACTACGGAAGAGTCAAGGAACAGCTTGGGGATTGTTTGGGCCCCTCATGTTTCAGCAACGCTGGTGTCTGTTCCAGGGTACTTGTAACTTATGTTACTTCTGATTTGTGGCTGCGTGGTCTTGGAAGTCACTTGGCCGATGCTCCGGCTCACACATCCCCATTCAGCATCACGATGTGAACCTTCGATCCGCCCCACCAGCTTCGACCCGCGAACGCGCCGCCACGTCGCAGAACACTCCGGAACCGTTCGCGACGGTTCGCCCGACATTTCAGCTGAACTCCCCCCTTGGTTGATGCCTGGCGCCTGGGCTGCAAAGGCCTGCAGCCAAGAAAGGTTTGGATCTGCCCCTTGAATGGCCCGGGCCCTCAGTGCTGCGAGCCGACCCGCTGATTCCGCGCGACTGGGAGGCCCAGAGAGGGGGTGGGACGACGGAGGGTCCAGCCACTCCAGGAGCTTGCTCCGAGTCAAGGGGCTTTTGGTGATGCCACCTGTTGGGGGTGATTCATGGGTTCCTTTGCTCGTTTCAGCTCGTCTAAGCCATGTGAGCCAACCTGGGGGGGGGCAGGGGGTTTTCCACAGTGCACCCCCTGGCTGGTGTTTTCCGCCGTCCACCGAGAGGCAGGGGCGACGTCCGCCACCGGTGGCGCAGGATGAGGATCTACCGGGAGCCCAGTAACCCAAAGCTGGGCTGGTGCCAGTGCTGCCTGCCCGCTTGGAGCTCTTGAGATGGTCAGGGGGGGGAGGTGAGCTGGCTCCAAGGGGTTGGACGTGGAACGGGCACCGTCGAGATGGAACCGTTCGCCTGGGCAACGGATGGTGAACAATGCTAGGCTGCTTACTTAGCATCAAAACGGGCACCATCAGATGGACTTTTGCAAAGTGGAACTTAGACCAGGACCCACGAGGGGTGGCAAATCGACACCCTTGGCGGGGGCCCGGCCCAGAGATTGAGACCACCCCCTCCGCCTCTTCATATCTCTTCATGTGAGAACGCCTCAAAGGATTTCAATGGACTTGCGCAGCAGCATTGTGCAGCCCTCCTCTCCCTTCCAGTGCCTAGTTACGGGTCCACGCGTTTGACACGTCCTTCTGCCGTCGCGGCCAGGAAGAGCCAAAAAGGTGAGAAGAAAGATGGGGAGAAAGGCCAAAAGCGGAGCTGAGAGGGTGGAATTTGGAATTCTATGGAATTCTCATTGATTCTCTTTGTGAATTTGTGAGAGTCTTTAGAAGATGGAAGAAGGATGGACACTTACCAGATCCACTTTCTAAGTTTTAGGGATCTTCCAAGATTTTCGTGTTTGACTTGCATGATTTTTGGAATCGTTAGAGGGTACAGCTTGGCAGAGAATATTCGTGATAACTAGTAGGTGGTGGCAAGTTGGAAGTCTGCCTATAAGAAGGTATCAAGAGAGAGAGAGAGGAGTCACACCCACCATTCACCAGTGTGTGAGAAAGAGGAACCTCATGCAGAAATCTGGACGGGGCAAAACAAGCCTGTTCATGAGAGAGTGCCAGGGGATCTGCTTTTTCCTCCAGATTTCGCACCACCCAATTGAATGTATCGACAGTTGATGACTGCAAGCCCCGGATGTTCGACCATCCAGGGTGGGGGTGAATTGGTGAATGACGGAAGCGACTTCGGCTCAGATCAGTTGAACAAACACCTCAGACGTTTCCCTGCCAGGGCGCCCGGACGCGGAGAACGCCCCGAAGTTCCGCTCCAGCCTGGGGAGGCGCATGCAGGTGGGTTGGAAGGCACTATCAGTGGAAACCAGCGGAGCGCCCATGAAGCCGCCTCGGGCATGTGCATGTGGGCTTGGTGTCAAAAAGACTGGAACCGACGTCTATACGGAGCGTGCCCCAGATCAGAAGACAGGTCGGGATGGTTTTGGAATCCAACAGGGTGGATGATAAGTACTACTTTGATACCTTATCACCATACCTTGGGGTCTCTTGGGCATATATTATATATAACACTAACTGTTTGTATAACAATGTACTGTAATTGTCAATCGCCTAATTATATTATCCATGTACCTTTTGCGCAGGTTTGTTGGAGCTGTATCGCAATTGACTTGGCACTGTGCTCTCAGAGGTGTTGTCATGTGTCCCACTTCGCCGTCGCATATGTTGCCTTTTGGAAGGGTTTGTTGAGGCTATAGCTGTCGGAGGCAGAGAAGAAACGCCTTTGGTATGCACCGCGGACAAAGAGAGAAGGACACGGTGTTAAACCAAAAACAGTTCATGGGCAATCAAGATTTCCCCACTATAATGTTTAGGCCTAGAATGAGCAGCTTTCGCCCGTTTGGGCCATTGCTTAGTCATAGTCTTGACTTCTTTTTTGGGGAGGGACCCTTTGGCATACCGGGATGCCGAAGACTCACCTGGCGCAAGAGAAGACGCCTCCTAAGGAAGACATTCAGCAAGGGCTTGTCCTATGCTTTTGGGGCCCGTGCACCCGTGCCACCCTATCACGGCACCTCACAGACGAGTTTATTAGATACTTTACCTTGTAGGTGTTGCATGTTGGTGAGAGCGCACCCTGTCAGCAAGTAAAGCCCTTGGACCGATTTCCCTGAGAGACGTCAGGCGCAGCTCGCGCATCTTCCAGACACAATCTGAGGCACGGTTTGTCTGTGCGTGCACGCGTGGGCGTGGGCGTGTGATCATCTCGAACGTTGGAGACCTAGTTAGGTCTTCTTCGGGTTCCATTGCAAAGTCCAGGAGTAGCGCACACACACACACACATTTTGGGCAAACCCATGCATGGACCACATAAGACATAATACAGCTTCAGACTTCAGACGCCAGGAGTCACATGTCGGGGGTGCCCAACGAACGGAGGAAGTCGGAGTGCCCGTGCCCATTCTCCACTCACTGGACTAAAAACCACCCAAACTCCATGTGACTCCTGGTATCCCAGACGCTCGGACTGCCATCTATGCCCCTCGGACTCTGTTCTCGCCTCTTCGCCGTCGCTGTTCTTCGGACCGACCGATCTCAGCCAGGTCGACTGGCTGGTGGAGGCGTGGCAGAAAAGGGTGCTGGCCTGTGGGCGGAGCCTTCGCTTGAGGCGCGGGTGGCACGAAGAGTGGCGGGGTGGCAACGGGGGATGGTGCGTGAACACGCAAACCGTCCGAGCGGCGGCGATTTTTGAGGTCTTAGGGATGGGCGGCAGGGTGAAAAAAACGTCACCCCACATCATGGTGGTCACAAATCCCAATTTCTCTTACCCGGACCCTTCAACAGGTGCTTCTTGGTGACAACAGGTGCCTAGAAAACCCCCGTTGGAAGGTCCTGGAAGAGATGGGGCAAAACTTGGGAGAGCGATTCCTGCCTTTACAGAGATCCTTCAAATGAGAAGGATGCCTTGGTGACTCTCAGTGAAGCTGCACTGAACATTGAACATGCCTCCTTGTTCTGCCTCCGCTTCCCCAAGTTCTTTTCCACAGCCTCCCTGTCTGGAAGCACTTCCCTGCTTACAGACCTTTAGACTTAGACCTCTGCAGGAGCTGAAACACATGCCGCGCATTGCATGTGTTCCGCGGTGTTCATCACGCGAGCCGCCTGTGAATGACGCCCATCATGCCCCTCCCCCAGAAGGCCCCACCTCCACATACACACGCACATATGCCAGGACCCCCTGTCGGGGTGGTTCATGCACACCCCGAATGACCTCTTTAAGGGGCTATGAATGGACACATCCCGTGGCTGAAGCCTGGACGACGTCGATGGCTCGGGCAGGCAGAAGTCTTTGGTCAACTTCGTGGACCAGGCGAAACGGTCATGGCATGGGTCTGGATGGTCTGGGGTGAACACCCCTAGCCCTAAGAGGTCCGAGCCGCTTGTTTGGGCACCTTGGAAGACCATTGATTCCTCTAGCTTCGAGACATGGGGGCCGACTCGCCCTCCCAACAATGGCCAACGGCTTGGCCCAGTTTGTGCCGCCTACTCCGAAGGTACAACGCATATTTGGGTCTGTCCGAACTTACCTGTAACAGTCCGTTTCAACAAAAGGTATACAGAACAAGGCCTGCAACTGAACCATCATCACCCACTGGCCCCTGGCCATGGGATAGACCTGGGACCGATCGGACGTGTCCCCAAAAACCGCCCAGGTTTTGGCTGCTGGCGTCAGCTCGCCCAAAGGCAGGGCTTGGTCCTTTGGCACGCGACCGACTCGCGGGGTTGGAACTTGCCTCATTGTAGCTGAAGGTAGCTGAAGGTAGCTGAAGGTCGAGTCTAATATTGGTGTAACCCCATGAGTTCAAGACCCCAGTGCACAAGGCTGACCTAGTGGCTGACCTTTGTTTTCACCATTCAACCAAGCAAGGGGGCCTCGGAACCCCTAGGAACGTCCCGAAAGCAAGTCTCCTTGTCCTTGCATCCTTTTTGAAGCTTAGGATCTTATAGGGCCTGCGATGTTCTAGAGCACTTCCTGGCAGGCTCCACCGTGGCGGCTCCCACCGTCCCCCCTCCGTCGGACCTGTCGCCTTTTCGTTTCAGGCAGCGGCCTTTCCGACACGTTGAAGTTCGAGGAGGACCTCGACCTCGAGGACTTTGGAGGCCTCCTCCAGAACCCTCCGACGTTTTGGGACCATAAAACAGCGTAAAACAGGTGGTTTCTGGGCACCTGTTGACACCAGGAAACATCGTTGGAGGGTCCAGGCTTGGGCGACGTGGTTGCCACACACCCCCCGACCTTCCTCGTGGGTACCACTTCTTCGCACGGCGCCGAAGAAGGGGAAAGACGAGGTTCACGGCGCGTGTGTGCTGCATGGCACGTATAACTCGGCGTCCGGTGGCGAAGAGAACGCAAAAGACGAAGGGGTGGGGAGCTGTTACTTTGTTTTTTGTTTGGGGGGCAGGTTGATGGGTCGGTGGATGAACTGAAGTCACTGAAGTCGAAGAGAGTGTTTCTTTTTTGAGACTTACCAGGACCCCCTGTCAGGGTGGTTCATGGGCGAATCACCTATGTAAGGGGCTATGACTATAAATAGACACATCATGATACATCCCTCTTTTCGTGGTGCTGACCCAGCACCCCTTCAGGTGCCACATGGGATAATGAGAGCCCTAGAAGTCCAGTTCGACGTGGGCACCACCCAAGTAAAGGAAGTTCCTTTTCGGATCACCTCGATGATTGTTCCCAGAGGCTCATTCGACTACCCTCAGTTCGCTAGGGTTTTGACCCTCGCTGTCACAGCCAGGGTTTGGGACCGAACCAACATGTAGCAGTTGGTTCGGGTCCATGAGCCTCTGGGTTTTGTTTGTCCTGGACTCGCCGGGAGAAGCACCACACGGTGCTGCAGCGGAGGTCCTTCGCTCGTCCACGCGCCGATCACCGCCTCGCGGGGCTCCGTGCGGTCCGTCCGCGCGCCCCTTGGCTGCCGGACAGGGTGGCTGTGGAGGGGATGGGATGGTCTGGGTGGAGACCTGGGTGTTTTTGTTCATGGACGCCTCTGACATGCATGACTCAGGGATCCAGTCGTACCTTCTCAGAAGGTGATTGGAGACTATGTATGTAGGCACCAAGTACCTTGGTATGTTGATTTGTAGGGTCTCATGACATCTCATAACTAACATCATAACTTGCCTCATTGGATTGTAATCGTCGGGGGGGTGTCCAAAGACACCACCCGAACATACCCGCGATTGACTGACCCCGGAATGGACCCCCGTTTTTTCTCCCAAAGATGCTCGAAGAAAATCGTAACTCCCTGCAGTCACAAAGGGGTGCTGAATGGAGGTCAGGGGTGCCCATTCTCCACTCACTTGGGGACCAAACACCACCCTAGTGTGACTCCTGGTCTGTAGGGGTTTCTTGATTTTCTGGTCAACTCACACGACCGGCCAGCTTGATGTGAGCAGAGTCTAAGCTCTTGATCGTTTTGATCCAGACACTGCACCGCAAGACCAGTCAGGATTCTTGAACTGATTCTTGATATTCTGATCTCAGCAGGACCTTTGCCTTCGACCTGAGGTGGACAGACGTAGAAAAAACATCATATATTCTATTTTTTTACGCCCTTGGTCCCCCCCAAAACCTCAGGGGTAGGGCCGGGGTTTTGTGGATGTTCCATGTTCTGGGCGAATCGATACGAATCGTCAAGCTGAAGTGCCCAGATTCGTTCCTTAACACCCCGACTCATGACTCGCATCATGTTGCATCATGTGGCCCTTTGATGGCCGGTGGTGTTAGACTTGGTGTCCACTTCCAATGAGACGTGTGAATTTCTGGCGTGTTCGCCGCTGTCCCGTTCGGCCTTCCCGTTCACAGGTCCATCCTCAAGCCTGCCTGCCCACAAGAGGCGAAGAGGGACGTTTCTGAGAGGCGGAGGCTTCTGCCAGACCTACACCCTGCCAAAAAGACACATGGAACCTGACAACCACTGGCCATCTAGAGGACCCATCGTCTTTTTCCGGTCCATTCCATCAGGTTCCCATCTGGCCATGGCGTGTCTCCAACCACCGGGGGCAACCCGTACCGTGCTTCGTTTGCTCCACGAGACGACCCTCGTCCGACCGCAGGCGGAGAAGGCCCGGAGGGAGATGGAGAAGCGAAGTGCACGACCCGGCATCGATTGGGGGGGTGGACGAAGCCCACTCCATGGTCTCCACGTCATATGATAT